CAAGGCACCCTATACTTCAGCGCGGAGCTGTCTCCGTGCAAACTACCAACAAGTTCAGCCTTCTTGTGCTTTCAGAACATTCATCCTTGAAGGGCAGTTTCAACTACTTCCAATCACCAAACATAAAGCGATCCCATTTCCATCACTCTTGCTTTTCGGACATCTGTCCTCCCATCCCAAGGACCCCATTTTTCCACATACTCATTGGATCTTATGAGGGTTAATGACATATATGCTATAGCAGAAAATTAATAATTGCTTCATCCAGTTCAATGAAGTTAAATGAAAGGTTTGCATGAAACTATCATCACCGGTAAAAAAAAAAGGTCTTGTTAACGTGATGGATCCTCTTCCACTTCTTTAATTAATTATTCCATTCAAAAATTTACCGTCAAGTGTAGTAATTACACCAATGAATAAGTGAGGCCATTCTATGTCATGCTCCCAATTTGAAACAAAAAGAATTCATGCCAATGTCATTGGCATGCACAGCGTCGGAATGAACTGCACCTAGGGATGGTAAAAAAGCTGCCGGCTCAGGTGGCTCGGGCTCGACTCGGAAAAAGCTTGAGCTGGGCCCGGCTCGGGCTCGGTTACACCAAGCCAAGGCTCAGGTCGAGCCTCATTTTTTTGGCCGAGCTTTACTCGGCTCTGATCCAAAAAAGCTCGGCCCCAAAAAACTCGAGCCAAACCCGAGCTATTTTATTTAATTTATAGTACGTATAAACCGTACAAATTTTGAATTTTTTAAGCAAAAATATAGATTTGGCATTAAAAAAAAAACCCAAAAGGCTCGGTCCAGGCTCGGGTCGGGCCCAAAAAAGCTCGAGCCGAGCCCGAGCATTTTTTTTTGGACTCGGGCTCGACTCGTTGACACAACTAACTGCACCTCCATGAAATGGATGTTACAAGATTCCTAGTGCACAAACCTTATATTACATCAACAAAGAAATATAATGACAGACAAAACAATACAGTTGTCATACTACTTCAACAATTTCAATTTGAAAACATTAACTATACACTCCACGAAGAATGTATTTCCACATAATACAAACCTCCCAAAATCTCAATTAACCTAATCAACACAACTTTGCTGGTCAACATCCTAATACTTGATCGCCTTACTGCCCAATTCCAATCAATTATACATCCTGAATTTACATTCAGATCCTAAACTCGAAAAGGTCAAGTCTAAATCTCCACGATTTTAAAACAAATTCAAGAAAATGCAAAAAAAAAAATAAAAATACACGAATTTCAGCCACAATTACGTTTGGAATTGAACAAAATTCTCCATCTAAATTCTATTAAAACAAAATTTAAATTTAAAAATGTCAATNGAAGGAGAATCACAGCAAGAAGGAGAAGGAGGACAGAGATATAGAAAGAAAGAGAGAGCTGGTAATATAAGAGGAGGAGAATAACTGAAGAAGAGGAAAAACCTGGAGAAACCGGGAAGAAGACCGGAGAAGCAGGAGAAGACAAGGAAGGAGGAGGAAGCAGCCAAAGCCAGAGTTCAATTCATCAATTCACGACCTCCATTCTTCCAGCTTCAGCCCTATATGAATCAAAACAAGGCTATGGGCTAGCCCACTATACAAGCCCAACTAGATATTATAGTAATGGCCCAAGCCATGACACCTTGCAAATGCAAGCCAGATACGAGGACATTGGAAGCAAACAATCGACGCAGTCTCGCGGCCGTACACAGCGAGCTGACGGCTGTGCAGATCCTCGTCGATGTCTCCGACTGGCGCCTTGCCATTCCGTCCACCGACGCCATCACTAACGCCGCAGGAAGCATAAAGTCTACGGAACTGTTGGAATTCGCCATTTCAAGAATCAAAAACTCAAAAATAATTACTTAATCAAAATTAAATTAAAGTAAGAAATGAAAAGGCGATGTAGAAATTGAAGAGTGTGCTAGATGAATAAATGCAATGGAAAGGACAGAGGGGAAGCTATACCAAAAGGGAAAGGGCGTGGATTGATGGTTAGGGTTTGAGATTGGACGGGTTAGATTTGGATTAATCAGGTGGGTTGGGTTGGCAGAATGTGGGGGAGGAGATTGTTTTGGAGGGAGGTTGGGTATATCAGTTTCTCCACTCAAAGCGCGGAGCTTTCTCCACACGTTTTTATAATTTATTTATTTTTTTTTTTTTTAACTTTTTCATCATTTAACTATAAATGACTTTTTTGAAAAGAGATTTTAATTCAATTAAAATTGAAAATATAGTCGTTATTGGGTCCCACTCGTCTAATAAAAGTCAACAATAACGGCTAATTTTTCAATTTTAATCCCTCCCAAACAAGCTCTTAGCTAAAATTGTAAAAGAAAATATTGTGTATTAATTGGAATATAAGAGAAGTATGATAGTGGAAAGTAATTTTTTCGTGCCCTCTTGAGGGATCATTGTCATCAATTTATAACTCAATTTTAGTAAGTTGGCCGCCTCAATCGTATCGTCAACAGTAACTAGATCACGTTAGGTGCTCGGTCGGTCATTTAAAATTGGTATTATTTTGGTGTTATATACGTTAGATCGTATTTAATTATTTTCTTTGAGTGTGTTACTTTATAAGCAACAATATTTTATAATAGAAACTTGATGATTAATTTAACGATAATTAATCGAACAATATACCAGAAGAAAGAAAAAAATATTAAGACGTATGCACATTCAAAATTAAGTTGCTGAATAATTAAATTTTCTTACCAGATTTACACTCGGACGTGAATACAATTATAAACTATTCATGGCAGCAAAATTAATTTGGAAAACTTGCGGTAGGCTGAATTTATTACCAAATTAATTTTNAAGGGCTAACTGAGTCGTGTCGTCAAGCCTCAACTCAAAAAAAAAAGGCTAACCAAGCCGAGCTGTCAAGCCCGACTCGGCTTGGCTTAGACGGCTTATGAAGAGTGACATGGAAGTCACTCTTATATATGTAGGATAAGAAAGGGCTTGTTTGTGAATGATTTTAATCCAATTAAAATTGAAAATATAGCCGTTATTGGGTCCCACCCGTCTAATAAAAGTCAACAATAACGGCTAGTTTTTCAATTTTAATCTGATTTTAATCCTTCCCAAACAAGCTCTAAAATAGTGACTCTTATTAAAAAGTTTCAACTAGGACGTGTTCATCTTAAAATCCTTAATTAACCTGTTTAGGTAATTCTTGATCTGTTGATCATGTACTTCTACTAAACAGCTACTTTTTAACACACTCAAAAGATGTTTCCTGGTGGGACAAAATCAAGAAACAAATTTCAGCTTTTGTTTTTTTTTCTTAAGTTCTTTAAGAAAAGTAGAAATAGTACAAACAATTTGAGACCGTGGGTTTCTATTCGTTTGTGTTGACTTTTCTTTTGGGCTAATGCCATTTATTCAATATGTCTCGAATTTGTGTGCTTACTATCCTCCATTCTCTTTTCTGGCTTTGTTGACCAGGTGTATAAAAATCGCTGATCATACTATCTTTTCTTCCAAGTAAATACGATATGTATTCTCGAGTTTGTATATTTGTAATCTCCATTCTCTTTTCAGGTTTTGCTATCCTGGTAGATTGAAAAATGTATGGTCGTGCTAGTGCAGGTGTCTTGGATGGCAATTCCTTGTTCTTATACGCTGTAAGAGCATTCAAAAACTGAAGAAACTTTTCGTTCGACTTTGACGTTTAATGTTGGGCATATGCATGACTCGTCTTTACTTTCGACCTGAAGCCGTTCAATTCATGATTTCACTAGGCGCACCTAGCCCAACCATGGGTCTAGGTCAATTTCGACCTGAAGACGTTCAATTCGTGGAAGAAATACTAAGTTTCAAAAATTGTAATTGGATTTCGACCTGAAGTTCTAACGAATCGAAGCAAAATTGTGGAAGACCCATTGGTGGAATAGTTTCGCCACGATTAGAAGGTGTTGAATGGATTGGTCCGCGACCATAGGTCAAAGGGACGACGCCGAATCAGTCAAGTTCAGTGCGTTGCGCGATAGTCGTGACTGCGTTATTTTCTGTTTCAAATTGAACATATTGGATAAGTGTTTTGGATGAATTGCCCATATGGTTGAGGTCGTTTGGGTGTGGGCAACCGGATGGTGGTGGTCTGCGATCCCGTTGCTGGCCGGAGGTGTGACTTCCAGCAATTTGTCCATTTTTCGAGTAGCTGATTTTGCTTGCTGATTTCTGCTGGATTATTGGATGATATGGGGAATTATTTTGCTTGCTGATTTCTGCTGGATTATTGGATGTTATGGGGAATTCTTGGGATGGAATTGTAGATGGTGTTGAGGAAATTGTGTTGGTACCAATGTCCGAAGGTTGTCGCGGTGGAGAAGAGTAGATGTGGTCATCAGACAGTGGAGGTGGTGGAGGAGAAGAGAGAGTGTGTTTTTGTTATTTTTAATATTTTTATAAGTTTTGGACTTATTTGCATTTTTAAAAAAGTTTAGGAGCAGATTACAATTTATTATTTATTTTTGTTTTATTTATATAGAATGGTATATTGGTCATCCTATGTTAAAAATTGGTGAAAATGACGTTCAACGCAAAGAATGTAAATGGTAGGGAAGTTCTGCAGCAAAAAACGAAAGATAAAGACGTTTTCCACAAAAATCTTTAAAGGTCGGGACATTTTGCGTCAATTACCCTAATTTTTATTATTGCTTTAAAAATTGATTCTTATACTCATTTTCAATCACACATTTTTCAATAAAATAATATTTTTCATCACATCAATAATTTTTCATTTTTTTTCAACTACATATTTCCCATCACATGGAAGAGAAAAAAAAAGTATTCTTGGCTACAAAATGTGCCGGTTAAATTTACTATTTCTTTAATTATTTTTTTCAAAACAAATCAAAAATTAATTTAACTCAAATCCAACAAGTTCAAATTTTTCTTCCGAACACTAACAATGGATAGACAAACCCTCGATTCATCTTCTTCATCCACTAACAAAATGGTACTCAATCAGTTCTGCACCTCCAGAAGATGCTTGGGTTAATAAATATCGAAAGCTACTCCCTCAGTGGCAGTCTCTCTGTGGCTCTAACCAGGTACCGTACTTTCTATTGTTTTTATTTGTTTACTGTTTTGGGTTTCTGTGGGAAGAGAGGAATTAGGAAAATATTGAATAGAAAAATTCAGACCAGCAAATTCTATGTATGAGCTTCCTACATGCCCTTTTTTGCAGTAATTTCAGGTTAGAGTCTTAGAGATATGTGGCCGGTGTACTAAGGATTTGAGTTTGATTGGTAATTTGGTTGTACTCCGTTCGATTGGATGTTGCAGGAACTTGTTGTATCGATACATTTCAGGTTCAAATTTTGGAAACCTATGAGGAAAAGAAATTTTTTCTATGTTATTCCATCTTATGCACATTTGCTAGACATGTCACACATGTACTGTATTTTTTGCGAGAATTTACAAGTGTAATTGAATAATAAAACGGCCAAAGTGGGAGTCTGATCTCATACTGCACTTTACACCGATGATCCCAAATTTTAGATTGATGGTGCATAACTTATGATTCTACTGTTATTATAAACTACAAGTTAGGTACCATTGTTTGCATGTATGGAATCGGATAAAAGTTGACTCCATGTTATTTGACGGCAAAAGGTCATGTGAGATATCTGATTTATCTCTCTAATCTACTGCAATATTTGGGTAATGGGCTCGCATGCCTTAAAAAACCTTAAGAACTAGCAGTGGTAGTTACATTGATATTTCACATGCTTTCTTGTTCTAGAAGTCGGTACTTATTCTAAAATATTAAGTTTGGTGTTCTTGGACAATATTTGCTTTAAATTTTCTCTACTGGAAATATACATTGAAAGGTCACACAAAACTTAATTTTCTTTTCATGTTTTTCGCACCATTATTGTTCTCTTTGCTGGTTCTGTTTGGCAGTCGACAATCCCAATTGAGATATCCAGAGTTAATCAAGTTGATGCTGCGACCTGCGAGATTGGACATTGAAATGTCAGCCATGTTGAAAGAACAGTTGGTTAAAGTCTTCTCTTCGATGAAATCATGTAGACAACTCGATGAAGGTAAAATCATGTAGACAACTTGATTACTCACCCCAAAATAGAAGTTTCTATGAATATATTGGGAGTTGGCAGGATTTAATTTGTCCATTCTTTTTTGTGAAATTAGCCAGGAATGTTATTCAATATGAACCGGAACTTGATGCTTTTCTCGAGTTTCTCATCTGGTGATTTTCCATCTGGGTTGATAAGCCTACTGCTGGTAACGCTCTCATGAATCTGAGGTATAGAGATGAACGTGCAGTTGAAGTGGGTGGAAAAGGTTAGGAACTCTAAATTGTTTTTGTATGATATCATTTGATTTCGGGATCTACAAATCCTCTCGTAATTGGTCTATAATTTTCTGAATTCAGGTCTTGGTTGTTCATTGATTTTGTAAAAATATGGACAAAATCAGTGTTCAAAGACTTGAGTGAATGAGTAATAACAACAAACTAAGCATATGTTCGGCAACTGTTTATAAACAGTCGTGCTTATGAAAATATATGAACAAGTGGTGGATAAGTGGTAGTATTTACCAAACATTTTCTAAATATCGTTCCTATAAATTGGGGTTGACTAATTGAATTTTTAGGCACCAATCCATTCAGTTTATTTCCACATCTATACCTAAAGCAACTGCAAAATGCCAAGTTAATTTTGGGTCTAGTGTTCCTCTTTTGACTTCTTCTCAAGATCACCAGCATTCTTATAAATGGGAGGCCAAGCGGTTCGGGTATGAGAAGAATGATTGCCTGCCTTACCTTACCCAAAAACACAAGGCTTCGTTGGCTCCCATTGTGGTCTAAGTTATCTATTGTTTTATAATTTCTCGCAATTGCATTATTCTTCAGTATCTTCTGTATTCTTGCCTTAATTACTCAACTCATGTTCAGTGTCTTGCAGTTAGTACAGGGTTTGAGGGACCAGGACTTACTATTGCACAGAAGATCTGGGTACTGTGTTGCATCTGTTGACGGTCAATATATCTGGGCCCGTCTTCAGTCTTTTTTTTGCTTTTCATAGATGGGGTGACATGGAGCAGGTACGCTCTTTCTGCAGGATGAAATCTAGTTTAATGTGCTCTTTCACACTCCCCCTTCCCCTACTCCCACGTACACACCACCGCACAAACAGATACAGGTAAATTGATGAATAGGTTTCCACCAATGTACCTATCTATGCATCTACTCTGATTACATCTATGTACAATGTGTGTGTGTGTGTGTGTGCTTGTGCTTGTGCTTGTGCATGTGTGCACCTTTTTGTTGTGTACATGGTGACACTGTAATGAACAACTAATCTCTTCCATATGTTCTTCAGAGATCAATGGCACGTCGAGCATAGTTTCTAATACAACGTATAGAAGGATTTTGCAAAGCTGCTCTTTCAGCAACCTACTCGTATTTCTTTTGACAGGAAGGTATATATATAGGACAAAGACTTCCCCTTCTTCATATCATTATTTGAATACATAAATTTGTTTAAACAAACCAAAGATTTAAAAATCTGAAAAAAAATAAAGGATAATCTTAAATGGATGACGCCAATAGTCACTACTGTCTGAATATGCCTGGGTGATTCAGTTATATTTGGTCACTAAGGTTGACTGGGATTTCAAAATGTTCCCTTGTTCATTTATATATTTGTGCGACTAAGCATTTTGAATGAGATTTTAGTAGCAAAAATGTACGTTCATTTTATTATTGTATGCTATTAATTTTATTACACAAAACCACATTATATCCATTGCCCAGAAATGTAAATTCATTGTTAATATCACATTGCTCTAAGAGTATCCATATGTTATGCTGCCATAAGTACAATGGGATAGTCTTTTCGATACGAAAGAATTCTGAGACTGATTAGGGTTAAGAATAAAGTTGCAATAAGTAATCTCTTCATACCCGTGCAGGTATAGGAGTCTTGTCTATGGAAGCCCCAATATGAGTCGAGCTGTAAGCTTTGAGTATATGAACTGCCAGTTGGTGTGGAACGAATATTCGGTAAATTTCCTCTTTGCTTAGCGTTAAGTAGTTGATTGTTGGGAAATTTTCTTGAGTGCACAATGAAGCCTTGCTGCTGCCAAAATAAGATGCTGAAAAACATCTTTGGAGCTTATTCAAACATGCTCCCAGTATTAAGTAGAAGCGTGGTTTCACCTTTTTCCCCAGCATACATATCCATCAATTTTCTCTCTTCTGAAGCTTAAGTGAACGTGCAGGAAATGCTACTGCTATTTCTTCCTCGTCTCACTTCATCATCTGTTAAATGTTTTCTCCATCCATTCTCAAAGGATAAATCTTCAAATTCAGTAGGGAATGAAGCATTATGCCCATGCTCCATCTGCCAAGCAACTCCAACCACTCCATTTTTAGCACTTCCATGTCAGCACAGGTATTTTTTGTTTTTTGTTTTTGTGTATAGATACTTTCGTTTAGGTTTGTGATGCTCTTGAACTGCAATTATAGATAGCAAGAGTCAAGGTTTCTCATGTCACCCAATATTTGAAGATATACGAGAGTTGCTTTCGAACCATCTGCATTCTGATTAGGAGAGAGAAAGAAAGAATTGATATGATATGTTTAATACTATTCATCTAGAGTCTAGATGATTATTGGTGTATGTGATACTGTGGTCACTTGTCACATTGTCCAATGAAGTTTGAATGCATTTTAAATATTGGACAATGTGGCAGTAACTCCTTTACCGCACATACAAGTGATGATCTAGACTTTAGATAAATATCATTACTCACATGATATCTCATATTACTTTTTATAGCTTAAATTACCTTTAGGTCTTTATCGAAAAAGGTGAATTTTTAAATGGCCTTGTTTTGACAGGCAAAATATAGGCTAGAGGATATAGATGAGGTGGTGGGTAGCAGGAATTGAACCGGCACAAAGTATATTTGTCTTGGCTTAAAAAAGTTCAAGTATAGAAGTTAGTTTTAAATAATTTTTTTACTGGCCAAAGTTGGAATTGCTTATTTTGACATTGAGGTAAAGTCACTATCAAATTAAGTAATTTTTTAAATTAAAATTTAGAAGTAAGTTATCCAAAAATATTTGGAAATTAAAATTTTCTTTTAAACTTAGTGTATTTAGTAAAACTTTTTATAGATTATATAAGTTATGGGACATTGGAATGCATGAATAAAAGTTGCGAGTCATATAAAATGTGTGAATAAAGTTGATATTTGACCAGCTTCGAAATTTGAATTTGTGTTAATGCATAACTCTATTGCTGATAGATGTTGCTACCACTGTCTTCGAACACGGTGTTCTGAGTCTCTATCACTTCGATGCTCCAGGTGCAATGAGCCTATGCAACGGCATAAGGGTTCTTTCCATGATGTTACTCAAAAAGAATGATAGTTTTACGAGGTGACTGACGTAACAAAAAGCAGTACAACAAAAATCATGTACGACAATGGCTTGAAGTAGGCATTACAATAGAATTGAGGAAACTAGTTTCCTTTATAAAGCAATCTTTGCACTGCATTGAGTGCCTGAATGATGTATTCGGCAAGTTCTTAATTATTCATTTATTCGTATATTTTTTAAGCCTTTTGCCAATTCCTCCAATTATCAAAATCATTTCCTTTTGGAAAATTTGCAGTGACAGTCCCCAAACTTTCTCAAATCAGGTACATAATTAAAATAACAACTTGATTAGGAATAAAACTTGGGATCTGAAATTAGCATAGTTAATGATTCCATCTTTATCCAGAGAAGGTTCAGGATTAGGGCTTTGTCAGGGCTCTTATCGATTCTATGTAATACTAATATGTTATTCCCACTTGTGGAGAAGCGTGCAAATTATAGGAGCTTAGTCAGTGCTTTCTAGCCCACTAACAATCCCAATAAAGGGTTCTCTCTCTCTCTCTCTCTCTCTCTCTCTGATAGAATAAACTATTGCAGCATTTTATAGCTATATGTGTGACATTCTCCAATTATGTATTCACCGACCATGTACATACCTATGGTTACAATTATTGTCACATTCAGATCGGTGGAGGGGTCTTGCGGATTGGATCGTTCGATCATTTTGGGATCAGAGATTGCAAGACAATAAAATTTGGATCAAGATTTAAACTATGGCACATTGTAGAATAGCATTAGACAATAATATGCTCATTTATTATAAACACCTTTCGCTCTTCATTATAAATTTGACAGAGGATAAATGTGATTATATTGCTTTTGACATCCTTGGTAGACCCAAGTTATTGGACCTCCATTCAGATTAAATTAAAACTCGCAAAGATCATTTGCAATCATATCGTGTCATATTGATTTTTATATATTTTTTGGGTAGGTAGAATGTTTCACGTGTTAGCTGGGCTTCTCATCTACTTGGACAAGAACGAACACCTTCTTTTTAGCTAGACGAAAATTTAACATTTGTCCGACTATAATTCGTGATATTTCTCCCGGAAATTAGACGAGACGATTCATTTCCACCGATACTTGATCCAAGGGCTCCTCTTTGTTTCCTAATGTGTCTTTCATCTCCCTCTCAAAAATTCTATCTCCTCTCTCGGCAGCGGCTGACTCGTGTCTATAGCCAGTTGCGGAGACAATTTCCATTAATTGTTGTTTTAATTTCTTAATTTCTTTGAAAAAATAAACCATCTGAATTATATTTATTTTTCATCGGTGAAAGAGTTTAGTGCTTTCTTGGAACAATCATGCTACGCGTACATCTTTTTTTACATCATTTTCGATATTGTGCCACGTGAAGACACGTGATTTGACAATTTTGAAAAAAAAACTATACACACTTTCCCGCCCAACATTTTTTGATCTTCAATAGAGTGTGCACAAAGATGTAAATCAAAGGATGTACACTTAGCATTATTCTTCTTGAAAATCCCTTCTATTTCTAAAGAATGATTGACATAGTAATTAATAATCTTCTGCATTTATAGAAATGAACTTCACGTTTATTTTATTGAACATAAGTATCTCAATTGTAAAGTAATGAACAATATTAAGAATAAAACAAAGTAAAGAAGAATTTACCCTGTAATCTTATTTAGTACGAACTATCAAACATATCATTCTCATTTTCACACTAAGGCACAGTTTGATTGAGGTGGTTTTTCATGAAAAATGGAAAAGAAATTTCATTTCCACACAAATTACGTGTTTGATTGGCGGCGATTGAATTTCCACATTTTGGCACACACATGAACAATTCTTGATTTTCGAGGAATCCATTTTCCCATGGTTTTGTTGGGAAATGATTTTTTTTTTTTAGCAATGAAAACAAATTTTATTCCTAATTGTAAATTTTTTTCGCTTTAATGGACAATTTCTATAAAAACCAAAGTCAAACGAAGACCAAAAGATCCAAAATTTCAACATTTTTTAGATGAAAAATTATATCAATCAAACACAATTAATTGACAATTCCTAATTAAATGAATTCTACCCAATTAAATTCCATGGAATTCATTTTCTTTCCACCTAAATTACATCCTTACAATCAAACGGACCCAACATTCAGAACCTAACCTAAATCCTAACCAAGGTCTATAAGAATTCACGGTTTAAATCCAAGAATTTTTTTTGAATCAAATAATTGCTTATTCCTTAAGTTGAATTTTCTGTTTGTCTCTCATTAAACTATTTTTTTCTACATACTCATTTTTAACCACGTTACACAATAAAATATTTTACACATAAACTCAAATTTTTTTCATATTTTTTAATCACACATTCTCTAAAAACTTCGTATTTAAAACAATGGTTTAAAAAAAAAAAAAAAAAATGTTAGCTGGGCTTCTCATCTACTTAGACAAGAACGAACACCTTCTTTTTAGCTAGACGAAAATTTAACATGTGTCCGACTATAATTCGTGATATTTCTCCCGGAAATTAGACAAGACGATTCATTTCCACCGACACTTGATCCAAGGGCTCCTCTTTGTTTCCTAATGTGTCTTTCATCTCCCTCTCAAAAATTCTATCTCCTCTCTCGGCAGTGGCTGACTTGTGTCTATAGCCAGTTGCGGAGACAATTTCCATTCATTGTTGTTTTAATTTCTTAATTTCTCTGAAAAAATAAAATTATATTTATTTTTCATCTGTGAAAGAGTTTAGTGCTTTCTTGGAACAATCATGCTACTTGTACATTTTTTTTACACCATTTTCGATATTGTGTCACTTGACGACACATGATTTGACAATTTTTTTTTTAAAAAAAAACACACACACACACACACACTTTTCCTATCAAATACATTTTTTAGGTGGAAAATTATACCAATCAAATACAATTAATTGACAAATCCTAGCAAAATGAATTCTAGGCAATTTAATTTTTTGGAATTCGTTTTCTTTCCACCCAAATTTCATCTTTACAATCAAACGGATCCAACATTCAGAATCTAACCTAAATCCTAACCAAGGTCTATAAGAATTCACGGTTTAAATCAAAGAATTTTTGTTGAATCAAATAATTGCTTATTTCTTAAGTTGAATTTCTGTTTGCCTCTCATTAAACTATTTTTTCTACATACTCATTTTTAACCACACATTACACAATAAAATATTTTACACGTAAACTCAAAAAAAATTTCATATTTTTTAACCACGCATCTCCAAAAACTTTGTATTTAAAACAATGGTTTTTTTCAAAAAGAAAAAAAAAAGGCCACCAAATGGGGGCTAAGAAAGAAAGCAAAGCAAAAATTTTAACATTAACAATCGTGCTACATGAACACCATATTTTTCATCGTTCTTTACACTTTGCCACGCGATAACACCCCATTGGACAGTCTAAAAAATTAAAAATTTTCCATCCAATCATTTTTTAACAGCACATCAAATGTCATGCTTGATGAACACAGTGTAATATATATAGCATTTTTGTAACAATAATAATTAATTTCATTCTTATTCGGTATCCACTATTATAGGTATAGAAAACATTCATACCACCACAATAAAACATAATATATGATCCTAACCTAGCTCTACCACCCTAATTCAAGGAAGTAATTAGCTCCACAAACATATGTTTTTTGGCCCGAAAACACTCCTCACCAGCTTTATTTGTCCCACTTTATGATAAAGCTAAAGTAAGAATAGAAAAACAATAAATAAATGAAAGATGGAAGAAGAGGAAACATTTACAATGGCTTCTGTACACCCCCCCTCCTCACCCCCCCCCCCCCCCCCCCCCCC